TCTCTATTGCAATAGTAGTCTCCTTCCTTGCAATAAACAGAGGAATCCTAAGAGTTATGAAACCAGAATAAATATACCATCACCCAATATGGGTATTTGTTGATAAATGAAACAGATGTTTTTACATTAGCTATAATGTAAAAATTAAACAAAGTGAATTGTCCTTTCTATACAATACATTTAAGATACCTTCATCCTTAAGAATATAAGCAAAGCTGTTTAAAGTACACGTTTAAATGATTTAAGTGACTTGTTAAGACATAATAATACTTGAAATTAACAAAGCAAAAATAACTGTGGAGCCAATAATTTCACACAGTGAATTAGTCATGCCAAGAGATTAAGACTCTAAGAGATAGAAGTTTTAAACGTTAATGTTCTTATAATTTGACTAATATTTGTCTGATTCAACCCAACCATAAATGCTTTTAATTTTATATTCAAAGTAAATGCTTTACAATTTATTTTCAGAACTTTTCAAGATATGCCCATAAGCTTCTTCACAGATAACCTTTGGCCATGATACAAAACCAGTATATCATTATAGGCCAATTATAGCATCTTTGAATACAATGCAGAAGGACCCTAGTTTTTTAGCTGAATCCCTTTATAGATGGCATCACCCCTGTTCCTCAGTTGGTAGTTTTCATCATTAGGAAGACAACCATACTTTGAACAGTAGACTCTATGCTTTACACAGAATAAGACAACCGGAAGATATCTAATCTAGAAAATAGAGATCTCCTAAAATAGCCAGTTCCAGCTCTGTAGTGTAAAGCTCATAGCTCATATGTTATGTTGGTAGATTTGGAAGTCATCTATACCAAGGTCTGTAAAGTAAGACCTACAGGCCAAATCCAATCTACTTCTTGTTTTTATGTATGAGATTTCATCGGAGCATAGTCACACATTCACTTCCATATTGTCTATGGCTGCTTTCTTGCTACAGAGCTGAGAATTATGACAGAGTGACCCATAAAACCTAAAATATTAACTGGTCCTTTGCAAAGAAAAAGTCTGCCAACCCTTCTTCTACATAATGTCAGAAGAATCACAAGACTTCTCTAAGAACCATTTCTAAAAGTACAATGAGACAGGCTGATGCTCTCCTACACATAGACTTTGGGGTCATCTGGTGCTAAAACAAAGCCTTTGAGGTTCTCTAAGTCATCTCTTTTAATCCCAAAGTTGCCAAGGCAAAGTATATGGAAACTGTTACTCTACTATCAGAGTCCTACCTTTCCCAATGTGTTTATTAGTAAATCAGCTTCACCATGAAAGGCTATCTTTTGCAGCGTTCAGGGCCCACACCTATAACCCAAGTATATGGGGAGGGTAAAGCAGGAGGATCTCAGGTTTGAAGACTGATTGCCTGGGCAACTAAAAAAGACCCAGTCTCCAAATAAAATTTTTTAAAAGAGCTGGGAGGTAATTAGTGGCACAGCATTCGCCTTACATGTGGCAAGGTCCTGGGTTTAAAACACACACACACACACACACACACACACACACACACACACACACTCTCCCCAGAACACCAAAAAGGAAGGGAGGGAAGGAAAGGAAGGACTGGTAGGAAAAGAAAGGATGGGGAAAAGAGACAGCCTTTTAAAATCCACCTCAGCACAGCTTCATCTGCATATGTAATGCTATGAAAAGTAGAGAATGGAGAGAGGAACAGGTAGCATATATTCCAACCCCTACACCCTCACCCTAGAATCATTTTAGCCATAGGTCTCTGCATAAATATTTCTTCTCAAGAGGGTCCTGCCAATTGATACTCTCCAAAGAAGCCAAGGAGGCTCCAGGAAGGTGCTAAATTCAAAACTAAGAAACACAAGAAAGTTTTGAGTATATATTTCTACTCACAATCCTTAATCTTTGGTAAAGTCAACACCAAATGTTAACCACAAAGAAGTCTTGGTAAGTGCCAAGTTGTTTGTTTTTTTTTTATAAAAAGGTTATAAAAAATTTTCAGCATTGCTGTGCCAACACAGGGATATCCCCTCCATTGTATGGGACACAAAGACGCACACCAACTCCAAGCAAGGGAAGCAGCCTTCCCTGTCAGCTATTTTTAGCCCCACTTCATGGTAGTCAGAGCAAAGTTAAGATTAATAATAATGCAGGGGAAACTTTCAAAACACAAATTTGAAGAAACAAATCAGTCCTTTTTTTTCTAAGTTCCTTAACTATGAAATCCTACATATTCTTCTGAACTCAATCTCAAGGGACCTACATAATCTACTAAAAACTTGTAGCTGCTTCAAAAATACAGAATCATATACCTTGGGACTAAACTGATAGCCATGTATTTAAAGACTGGTCCTCTTTTCAACTACAACTCATCTACTTTTAAAACATCTCTTTTAGAGACAGACTCATCCATTCTCAGTTCTCATCGTCTTTGCTTACTCTGAACACAGATCCCCACCACCACCCCACAAATTAAAACACCCATTTTTCAGCTCTTTACTTTCCATTAGCACTCTCAGAAACCTAAATGCTTTGAAAATTACTCCCATCTCCACACTATCAGCATTATGACCTGTTAAACTATTTCGCTGTCTTGAAATTATATCAGTATCTAACTCTTAACCCAAAATTTAACATCCAAAACAAAGTCAACTGCCCTGTTTCCAAATTCTTTTCTTATAAAAAACCACTAGCACCATACCGACACTGGATACATCTTTTTCACTCCTTCTGAATAGCGCCATCATGACCATGGCATAAAAATGTTCATTTCCCTAGAAAAACAAAATCCTAATCCAGGCACACGTTAGGCTGCCTTTGTCCTAAAATGTAATTTCTCCTCAACCATCTGAAACTACCCTCTCAGGAACACTGCCCTCAACTGCTTCTTTGCATTGTAACCATGCACCTACACAAACATGAATTCACCTTAACCCTAATCAACAATCTCCCTCTGGAGGTATTACCAGCAAGCTAAGGTCTTTATATCTACATCTGTCCCTCCTTATACCTTCCAAGTCCAAAAGCCTTATCTTGTCTCCACATGCACATTTCTTCCTGAAAAAGACCTTCCCAGATTTGACTCAGACACTCCAATTTTTTGTGTAGTTCAAAACTAACATTTTCTTCATGAAAACTGTACAAATACATTCACAGATATAAGATACTAAACATGGTATCTGGCATATAGTGGCCTTAATTATATTGTCCATTCTCATATTTCTAAGTTTTATGCATTTGTATTTGATTGCCTCTGTCACTCATAAGTAAAAGCACCTCAAAGACGAACACTGTAATACTTTATCAGTTTTACACAAATATGCAATAAAACTTCATCTTAATTTTTAACCAATTTATAAAAGTAGATCCTACTGTTAGTAAGCAGTTTGGGGTTCATCTTCCGCTCCTTCCCAAAAAGCAGCCTATGCAAGACTAGATGGCTCTTCATCATCATTATGGAAAATGGATACATAACTTTCTCAAGGTCACAAAATAAAGTAACAGACCCAAAAATATTTGTTTGATTCTAAATCTAACCTTACATTCACTGTTCAATTTTTTCAGGTCAGTTCCCATTTAACATAAAAGAATTTAAAGTTCCTTGTAAAAAGCATAAGAACAAGGCATCTTAAGGAAAAACTGGTAAAGTTCCAGAGGAGGGCAAAGTGGTCAAAGAAATGGAAGAAATTAGCCTAGAACAGAAAGAGTTGGGCAAAATGACAGTAAAGAAAAATAATTAAAATCTATAATACTAGGAAAAGATAGACTTGTTCTAGCATTTCTCAAAACACAAACTCTGAATGTGTCTTGGAATTTTATAGAGGACTGATTTGAGATAAGTATATGAATAATTCCATAATACAGAAGCTAATAAACTCCCAGAACTCATTACTTCAAAAGAGGAAAAATATAGGATCAAATATTAAGTTTGAGAAAGTTTTAAATCTTTAATCACAATCCTGAATGAAGAAATTAGGATAGATAGGTAACCCCTATCTATTTACATTCATTCATTCCTACACAGAAAGCATCTCTTCAGAGAGCGAGCCCACAGTTTGTTGAGCAGATGGACCAGAATTCTTAGTTTAGTACTGTCTATGCCATATAAAATTCCACTACAAGTTTAATTTTAAGGTCCACATAAATATATGAAATGTTAATTATTTTATGCACCTTTTGATATTCTGAAAATATACCTGAAATACAAGTCACTGGTTCTAGAACTTCAACTTAAAATAATACAAGGAAAAAGTCATTCTTGATAGAATGAAGTGTCCATAGTTTCTCCTAAAATGATGGAGACTAAAGATAAAGCCATTCTCCCATTTTTTTTTTTTAAGCATTTGAGTAAAGGGGAAAATGTTACAACTTTTATGAAACAGTTAATGCAATAGGTGTCCCTCCCAAGTAAGGTGATTCATAAGAACTCCGAATTTTCTTAGCAAGAGAATGTTAGTGTCCTCTTTGCACACAAGAATTGAACTCAGGAAATGAGAAGGAAACAACCTCCTATACCAACAGGTACTAAAATGATAATCAGTCTTCCTTCCGCGAAGACTCTAAGAAAGGCAAGAAATTTTCCTTTCAGGATTCCACTGAGTAAGTGGTTCCCACTGGGAAATCCATGAGAGTTTCCCAGAAACAAAAACTGCGGTGCTGCCCTAGCTGCTGTATCACAGCCATCGTACCAGGAAAAGGTATATTACAGAGATGTCCTTTGTGTGCACATAGGCTCGGGCTTCCTCTATTTCCTTTTGCCAATTACTGGCTAGAAAGGTGCAAGTATCCACTCTGGAGATAAGAACTTCTCTAAGCGCAACCTGTATACTTGCACAACTCCTGCAAGTTAAAAGGTTACAAAACCCAGAACTACATACACCTTCTCTCTGCTGAGAAATAAAGGGCTATAAACCTTGTCATCTATACACTCCCAGCCCTCCTGCAAAACATCAGCGAAACTCTAGAACCAAGCGCCGGCAGGCTCCCACTTTCTAGCCCTCATTTCCCTCTCCCCGGCCACTCACGCTTTAGAGAGGAGCCGTGGCGCTGAGAAAGTGGGTTGGTTCCCTTCCTCCTTCGGACTGAGGCAGCAGCTGCAGCAGCTGCGGAAGGCTCCGTCGCGCAACTGAGGAAGAAGCGGTGCTAGTGTCGCTCAACCAGGAGGCCACCCGGGTCTCTTCCGCGCTACCGGGGAAGAGCAGGAGGCGGTGGCCCCGCACAGCTCCTCTTTTCCTCTTCCTGGGTCTCTTCAGGCTGTGGCTTCAGCCCGTCCAGGGCCACTTGTCCCGGGACAGTCACAATTTTGTTTTTGTAAAGTTTCCTCTGGGCGGAGGCTGCGGCCGGCCCCCCGGGTCCCCCCCGGCCCCGCCGCCCTCGGGGCTGGGGCGGGGGAGGGGGCTCTTAGAACTCCCGGAGTCCTGCCGAGGAGCCGGGGGGCCGGCGACTGGCCAAGGGAGAAGACCCCCGAGGGGGCTGAGGGGAGGGGGACGGTAAGGAAGGGACGGCGGCGCCGGTCCTGCTCTCCCCGCCACCCCAGCCGCCGCTTCACATTGGGGTCCCCGCCCCCCCGGGCGGGGGGTGGCTGCTGAGCTTGGGGCCCCGGCTCATACACACCCGGGCGAGATGCTACGGCCCCGGGAGGGTGGCCGAGGCGGCGGCGAGGCAGGGGACCCGGCCGGCTCCGCTCGGCGCCGCCCCCGCTCCCGGCTCCCGCATGTGTCGCTGCGGATGGGACCCCCCTCCCTACACCTTGGGGGTCCTTCTCCCCACGCCCCGGGACGAGGCAGAAATTCCAGCCCCTCCTCAGCGTCCTCTCACCGCGGAGCAGCTACTCAGTCAGTCCCGGCCCGCGGTAGCCGCCTCCCTGCCCCCTAGCCGCCGGCTCCGGCTCCGGCTCCGGCTCCGGCTGTGGCTCCCGCTCCGGCGTGTGCAGCCGCTGCTGCCGGCCGGGAAGGTGAGGGGGGGAGAGAAGGGTGGCCGCGGCTCCCGCTGGCCCAGGTTGGGGCGGAGGTCTTGACGGCGGCCAGTGTACGGGGGCTGGGTCTCTTGGATGCTCCCTCGCTCTCACTCTCTCGGCGGCGGTGGCGGTAGCGCCCGGAGCTCAGCTCGCTGTCTCGCTCGCTCTGTGCGGGGCTCTCGCCTCACTCCAGAGAGAGGGGCGGGAGGAGAGCGGCGCCTACTGATGACGCAAGTCACCTAGCAACAGCTCTCCTTCCCCCGCCCTTTTCTTTCCGCTCTGAGGCTTCCACCGCGGGCCTTTTTTTTCCCCTTCTCTTACTACCCCGCCCTGGGCGACTCTGGCGCTCCCTGATGACGCTTGGAGGGAAGAGGAAGTCAAGGATCCGCGAGCGGGTGGGTGCGCCTCGGGCCGCGGGACTCGCTGCTGCCGCCGCCGCGGCCGCCACCGCCTCTACGACGGCGTCAGAAGTGAGGAGAGGAAGGGGAGGAGCCCAGTCGAGCCTAAGCTGCTGCCTGATCTTACCCCTGACCCGAGGGCGGCGGGGAGAGCCTGCTCTGTAGCGGTTTCCTGCAGGGCAGGTGGGGACTGCTCCTTTGGGAGCAAAGAGGAGGCCCAGGCCGCGCGGCCAGACTCCGGCGCGCAGCATCCGAAGGTGAGGCATTTCCAGACTGTCCCTGAAAAAAACGAACTGGTCGTGAGAAGTTGTCCTGCAGCCGGATCCTAGCACCTGCTCCAGCGAGCGAGAGCCCCACCCTTTCCCGTAGCATGGAGTGAAACCTAGTACCCGATAACGTGTGGTCAGGCCGAGCAAAAGTGGGATGAATGAATGAATGCCTCTCTCGAGTGGCACTCGCGGAGCTCAGAGGAAATGATGGAAGTGCAAGCGCTTTGTAAACTGCAGTGCCTTGTAGAGATGAGAACTGTAACACATTCTTCCCCATCCCTTCCTTCCCCTCCCCTTCCCGCTCCAGCCAGGAAAGGAAACTGGGACGCGGCTGGAGTATAGTGTCGCCACTTGAGTCTTCAGTGAAAAAGGAAGCAAATTGCCGGGGCTGGGGAGAGGAGGATTGAAAGGTCCGGGAGACTGTTGAGGGATTTTGTACTTTTGCAAGGGGAGAATTTAATAGTGTCTCACTTTTAAGAATCATTCTTGCTCCGGGTTAGGAACTTTTGGAGAGCTGGTCTTGGTTGTTCATCAGTGTCCTTACCGTCATTAAAAAATTTTGCCCTGAGTTTCAGATCAGAGTCAAATGGTGTTTCCTTTGTGAAATAAATATTACTACTATAATGCAACTTATCCTGCAGATATTATGCTGATCAGTAAATTTGGTTAAAAACTTGGGAAATTTAAAGTGTAGTTCCCAAGGAAAAGAAAATTTAAGATAAAAGTACCAGAATCTCAGAACTCTATCTGGAACTTGTCCTGCTGAGTAGTAAGAAGGAGTTAAAGCATCAGCAATGATGAAAGGAAAGATTCCACAGCTCTGGCTGAACACCTCACCTCCACTAGAAGCAGCTGTGATATATATTACAAGTCTTTCCATCTGGCTAGGAGCAAGTGTATTATAGACAAATTTGGGAAGCCCAGAGTTTCTGCCACTACTGCCATCATCATATACGAACAGTAGACCAAGGAAACTTCTAAATGGGTAAATCCAAGATCTTTGTTTTTGTTGTTGTTGTTTTGTTTTGTTTTGTTTTGGGTACTGGGGATTGAACCCAGAGCCTCTTAACCACTGAACCACATCCCCAGGAGACAGAGTCTTGCTAAGTTGCTTATAGCCTCACTAAATTGCTGAGGCTGACTTTGAACTTGTGATCCTCCTGCCTCAGCCTTCCTAGCAGCAGGGATTACAGGGGTGCACCACCTTGCAGGGCCCAAGGGCTAATTTTTTATTAAAATTCTGCCAGAAAAGGTGGAAAGGAGGGGAGGAAGAAGTTGCCACAAACACAGAGAAAGACTCAAAGTTGCACCTGACCCTACTGCTCAAGAGTTAGGTTAAATATGTCGCCTTAATTACCCCACATTTGACTGTCTTTGCACAACCCAGTCCCCCTGCTATGCTTTTCCAAATAAGAATCTCAGGGAATCAGATAAGTAAATGATGGCCTCATAGGGTTGCAAAATAAATATTTCTTGGTTTTGCCCCTCTTCCTCTCTTGCAGCAGTGGAATGGTAGAAATTAAAGGAGTAAAACACAGGTTTAAGGGAATTTTGTAAAGCTGAATACCTCATAGTTTAAGCTTTGTGGTCTTTGAATGGAAAGCGTGTAAACATTAGAGCTTTGCAACCCAATAGATGACACTTCCAGAAAAATGTGCACCACGTGGGTTTTTCAAAGGCCTTGTCTATTTGCACTGTCAGGGATTCTACCTTCTAACCTTAATACTGAGGTAGAGAATTTGGCACTGAGGAGAACCCTAAGCTTTCTGCTTATAAAGTAGCAGCTGCAGTAATCTTACTGGACAAGAACCACCCACCCCACCACCAGCCTGAAAAGAGAAGGAAACAGCTGGAACTGGCCACTGGAGAGGAGGAAGTTCATCCATTTCCAACTTGCTCTGCTTCTCTTTAGTTCCTTATATTGCCTGTTAAGCCAGAGGAGAAAACAGATAGCTGATTCAAAAAAAAAAAAAAAAAAAAATACAAAGTTTCAGGTAACAGAGTTCTTTCCCTGGTTCATCAATTTATGATAAAGATCTGCATACTATGTTAAAGTATAACAAAAGGATATTTGTGTAGGGTTCACACCTCCTACTCTTGAAAGTGAGCTCTTATGAAGAACTAATCAGTGTTTTATTATCCCACATCATTGATTTCTACTGTCAAAGACTGCATAAGCTAAATCATGTATTTCTTTTTCTTTCTAGAAATGCCATTTGTAATATATGAAATACTTTGAGCATTTTATTTTGAAGTATACTTTAAATGTATAAGGCAATTGTATAATATAATGAGTAATTATAAAAGAAGTCACAGGGTAAGCAATCAACTGGGTCAAGAAATGGAGTATTTCCAGCACCCCAGTACCCCATGACCCTTTGAACACAAGTCTTCCTCCCTCCTAGAGGTAGCCATTATTCTAACTTTGTGATAATCATTTCCTTGCTTTTCTTTATTGTTTTATCACAGGCATACATCTCTAAACAATATATTGTTTATTTTTGTCCTTTCTTTTGAACTCTGTGTAAATAGAACAATATAATATGTAATCTGTTGTGCTCACCATATTTGTTCAACATTGTTCTAATCCATATGCTGTTCATACAACTGTAATTTGGTCATTTTAATTGCTACATATCACAGTGTTATGTTATAGCAATATATGACAGTTTGTTTAGCCATTCTATTATTGATGGACATCTGAGTTGTTCAATTTAGGGTTGTTAGAAATGTTGTACTAAACTTTACTCAGATATATATGTATTCTGTCAAATCTGTATCAGTGTCTGTGTGGCCTATAATTGGGAGTATGTATCATAACTTGAATGAATAATGGCACATTGTCTTCCAAAGTGATACACTCACACTAGCCATATATGAGTCCCATTGCTTCACATCTCATAACACTTGGTATTGTCAGGCCTTTTCAGTTTTGTCAGCCTGGTGGGTGTGGAGTAGTATCTCATTATGGTTTTAACTTGAATTTCCCCAATTACTGATGCTGTTGAGGACATTTTCATAAATCACTAGCCATTTGAATTCCTCTTTTGTGAAATTTGTTATTATTTTTTAGTGCCCAGTCTTCAAAATACCCAAGTTTCCATTATCCTTTTGTAGTCCATAATGAAATAATAAAATTCAGGTAAAGTAATACCACCAAATGAGTTTGGGACAAGTTCTTTCCAAAATAAGAGTAACATAGTTTGCCTAATTATTTTTTATGAGTGTGATTATAAACTTCTTAAAAGTAGGTCTTTAGGACTATTTTTTTTATTCTTTACCTTTCAAAATAATGCTATCTCCCACTATTAAACTATTACTGGAATCCCTCAGAATAATTTTCATTTTTGTTGTATTTTAGTTGCCTTCAAATATATAAAAACAATTTTTATTCTCTTGAAGCTGAGTAACTGAACTTTTTTGTCTTTGTTGCTTTGTATTTTTCTCACAGTCAACCAAGTAAGAAGTTGTTTCCCCACCATAGATTTTTTTTTCATTTCCCGGGTACATTGATTTCATAAAAGTCACAATGGCTTTTTCTTTCCTCCTAAAGTTCCTGCTACAATACATGGATTTTTTTTTTAATTTCACTCATTAATATCACATATATACCATTTATGTCACTGTCTGGCAACATTTCCAAACATAGGCTATATTTGGTTATCATTTTCTTACCAGTTCTTTGTTTAGAGTCAATGATATTCTAAAACTAGAGAAGCTGAGAACCAGAGAAATTATGTGACTTACCCAGAGTCAGGAAAGCAAGTATAAAGGAAGCCTGGACTCCACCCTAAGTCTTCAAGTACAGCACATTTGCCATTCTATCACTGACTCAGTCCTCTGGAGCAGTAAGGTAAATGAATTCCCAAGGTCTGTAGAATATTGTGCATGTTCACATAACACACCTCTTTTTCCTTTTTAATATTTTTTAGTTGTAGATGGTCACAATACCTTTATTTTATTTATTTCCTTTTATGTGGTGCTGAGGATCAAATCCAGTGCCTCACTCACGCTAGGCAAGCTCTCTACCACTGAGCTACAACCCCAGCCCCACACCTCTTATTCTCTGTTGAACTTTATTTTAAGCCTAACAGCTTTAGGATCAGATTGAGATTGGCATAAAAAACTAAAACATTTAAGAATAATATAAATAATAGTGCTAAAAAGGGATTAGATAGAAGAAAATTTTGAAAAAATAAAGTTTTTCTACCTTCTTCTTTTTCCCTTCTAGCCATTCTGTCATTAGGCCTCATTACCTCTTCAAAGAATCACTATATTCCCAGAAGAAGATAGCAAATGCTGCAGGAAAAGCCCTTGAATGTGGTGATCAGGTGCCTAATAATTTCATAATGCTATCAAAAATGTTAGCGGATATTAGAATTTTTCTTTTTTGTTTGTTAAGAAATGGAATCTTGCTATGTTGCCTAGGCTGGCCTCAAACTCCAAGGCTTAAGCAATCCTCTTGTCTCAGTCTCCCAAATAGCTGAAACTATAGAAGTGCAACACCATGGCCAAGATGTCAGCGCTTAATGACATTTTGAGATAAAAGAACAAATCAATATAGACAACTACAGCCTGATGGGACTGCCCTATGTTGCCTTTCTCATCACCTCGGTTCACAAAAAAAAAAAAGGTTCTGAAAATGAATGATAGATGACTACTGATTTTGATAGAAAATTAAAATCATAACTTTGGCTCACTTGTAATTGTTAATTTAACCCTAAAGCTTCAAAGAAATCTCCTAAAGGATACAAGCCACATGATTTTTGTCACAAATGATCATGAAATAATATACATAATAAAATCCAGCTATTTTTAAAATAAAATATTTACTAAAATAGGCTTAAAATAACTTTTTTGGTTTGGTTTTTGTTGGGGAGGGGCAGTGTTTGTTTTTGTTTTTAGGTACAGGGGAATGGAAGCCAAAAGGCCTCTCTACCCCAATGCTACATCCCTAACCCTTTATATTTTTGAGACAGGGTCTTGCCAAGTTGCTGAGACTGCTCTTATACCTGCCGTCTTCCTGCCTCAGCCTCCTGAGTGGTTGGACTTACAGGCATGTTCACCACCACACTGAGCACTTTATAAAAATATTAAAGTAGGCTTAAACGTAACTTTGTGGAGCAAAGGCTTTAAAATGTCTGGCTTGAAATTCAAAACTAAATCATTGAATTAACAGTAAGGAGTTGTCAAAGGTACCATTATGTAAATACTTTTATTATAACTTCCAAAAGACAGTGATAATATAGAAAACATAAAGTTAGAACATCATAAGCATAGAACATTTACATTTACGTCACCCTTCAATCAACAAAATGACACATATTAGCTACTTCATAGAGCACTTAGCTGGATATACTGTAGTGAAAGGAAATCACCCAGACCTGTCACTTGCTTCTCTGAGCTCACAGTCTAATTTTAATGTGCGCCTGGCCCAGAAGTTGACCCCAGCCATCATTATGTGAAATTATTTGATTTACATTATCTGATAATGTGTTCTTTAGATAAATGGGTTACTGCTTTTATTCTCTTGATATGCAAATACTATACTAGAAACCCTTAATCCTATTTATT